ACTGACCAAGAAAGAGGAACAGTTGTTTGGTACACATAAAAAGGTGCTAATTTAGAATTGCTTTTCTAATAATAACCATATGTTGGTAGAGGATAGTCACTAGTCCCTGGAACTCTCACCAGCATCCAAATAGACTAATAAAATTGTCATATAGGAATAAAGTGTCACTGCCGACACTTGGGTTTGAACATGGCTCACCAGAGAGAAAGCACAGTTGACTTCACCTTGAAATAATTAGATCACATGACAGGTAAAGGAAAAATATATATATGGGAATTAGCGGTACCTGACTGAGTATTGTTTAAAGGTATTACTATTATTGCATCTGGGATTTACAGTCTCTTTTACAAACAGGCATTAAAAAAAAAAAAAAAAAATTACAGTTATTTATGTAGTTTGCTCTCCCTACCTGTTTTTTTTTTTTTTTTTAAAAACTTTTCCATCACTTACTCCTTTGTACACTAGTATCTATTGTAAACCTAAAGAATAAGCCTGGTGACTGAATGGGACAGATGAAAGGAATAATACTTATGTGTCTGGTTTACATGAAAGAATAGCTGTTTATCATCCTACATGATAAGTTTTCTCCCTTTTCTACATCTTTTTTTTATCCTAAAAGGATATACATGATCATGGCTCTGTACAGATTTCTTTTCTTTATTATTTGTTAATTGCCACAACTTCCTGGAAAGATAGTGGAGTAGTTTCTCATTGCCTTCTCTACGTTTTTTTTTTTTTTTTTTTTTAATTTGGAGTTTTCCTTCTCTTAGATGGTTAGAGAACTCAGTCTACTCAACTATTTAACCTATAGCTGGGTGCAGAAGAAATAGATTTATACCTTTCCCAAGGGCATTGACTAGCCTGGGACATCAAATGTTAATTTTAAGAAAGCATGTAAAATAAAATTCTTCTGAAAACTGATTTTTAAAACAAGACCATGTAATGTTCATCCATTGATAAATTGATTTAATCAACTGATACGTTTCAGTAATGAATGATAGAGATTTGATTGTCAAGGGATGCAATGAATTCCTAAAGAATTCTGGTTGTACAAAAAAAAAGAAAGAAAAAGAGAAGAAAAAGGGGGGGGTTATAACATATACTGTAAACTTTGAAAAACTGTTTCTTCTTGTTGATTAAACATTACTTCAACCTATTAATATCTACCGTCATACCCCCCCACCAAAAAAAAAAAAAAAAAAAAAAAAAAAATGGAGGACTAGCATTGTTATAGATAGAAATTTATAGTAAAAAGATATTTAAGAAACCTGTAATTAATACCAGATCTTTATTTTAAATTTTATAATCAGTGAATTTGCCAATATCAAGGACAGTTTTTTTTTTTTTTTTCATGAAATACATCTCGAAAAATTTGCATAACATACAGGAATTTAGTTTACTGTCTGGTAAAGATAATCTTCCTCTCGGGTTAGCATAGGCCTATGAAAACCCTAACCTTCGCATGGCAAATTTTCAAGAAAAAAAAAAACCCAAAAAAAACTGTGTCCTTGATGCAGGCAAATATGGTAATACCAAATTTTATGGTAGGCATATAAGCAATGATCCAAGAGCATGGTGTGTTCATGGTGTTAATGTAACTTTTGATGGTCTTCCTGTGACTGTCAAAGGATTCTACCAGTGTTATCCTGCTTAATTCTTGCCGTCATGTACCTTGGTAGTTATAGTAGCAAGCGTGTTGGAGGAGATCCACTTTACTGCATATTGTTTACTTATCATTGTGTACTAAGAGAGAATTTCTTGTAACTTAATGCGCTGTGGTATTTTTTTATCTGTATTTAACGTGATTTGTAAATAATAGGCAGAAGAACTGTTAACAAGCAACAATGGTTTATTGAAGAAAGAAAAATAAATTCAAAATACAATTCTTTTCACTATTTCAAGGATGAAGCAGTGAACTTAAAATTGTAAGAATAAAATGGCTTTTTTGGTATGCAACAGAAGGGACCCAGATGACCAAAAAACACTCTAATCTCTATTTACCTTTAACTTCTCACTGAGTCAGGATGCAACACAAGGTCAGTTTGTTTGGTAGGAATCCAACTGTCTCCACGTAAGTCATTGGTCATAGCTAGTCATAGTCAGTCATGAAACCATACTATGAAATAGATCCAAGGATTTTGTCCAAGCAGTGAGGGGAGGAGTGAGAGAGGACTCAGCACAAAACAGATACTACAACAACACCATCTCCAATCCAGATTTTTTTCTCTCTTGTCTCTCAAATTATTTTTTGAGAATTTCAACTGGTAAAATCTGTAGAACAATAAATGAAATTACCCGAGTGTGAGTGGGTTGCAGAGAACATGGGAGGCAAAGTATTTGCCATGCCAGTTTTCCAATGTGAGGCTGCTCCAAGCTCTGGTTTTTATAATTGTTTTACCAGAAGAGGTGGGATACGCAGGTCTGCTACCTTGTTACTTAAGGCCTGCTTTCCCTCCTTTTTCCACTTTTCCTTTGTGAGAGGAACTGATGAGAACTGAGTCATTTTGCGAGCTCTCTTCTACTCACTAGTTAAGTAATCCCAGTTTGGATTTGGGTTGCAAGATAGGCAGTGTTTTTCAACACTTACTGTACTGTACTGGCTTCTAGCTATCCTAAAGTCGAAAGGAATAAAACCTATTTAGGATTTCAAAAATTACAAAAATTCCCTTTAATAGATTTTGTTGGCTGCAGTTTCTATACCGTATGATTAATCATCTAAGAAAATATTAAGAGTTTTTCCTTTCAGCCTTGACTGAAAAGTATCTCCTGACCAGGGAATAAATTTCTATTTTCCCAATATTACTTTGAGGTTAGTGAGCAGAGGTCAATTCTGTCATCCTCAAATTTTGATAAAAGAGTGTCAACTGGGTCCATTATTCCCCTGACATTTTGTTTGTTTCTTTCAGAAATTACCATTTTCCTCAAAACAATAAATGGGGGGGGGGCACAATTGTCCCAAAACACCTTCCAGCTCAGGTTGTGGCAAGCCAGACCTCATGACCCTGTAAGTGCTGATATGAATAAAATGTAATATCCTTAACTTGAAACCATCGGAAGGTTTAATTTAATTATTTCTCTTGATCTAAAATTCTTACCCAAGTGAATCTACAGATTTATAGTTCAAACCAGTCAGATTCCCACATCAGATTCATTAATGCTTCACTTCCCGTTACAATGGGTAGAGTTTTACTGCGGTTGAAGTTTTTATAATCAAAAAGGATTTCTAAACATAAAAGCGAGAACTGTTTAGTTTACAAGTCTAAAGAAAGATTCACATTCAAATTAAATTTTAATGTCTAAGAACAATACTCTGTAAACTTAAACAGAAACTTGTAATAAAAAGAAGTTTTTTTCACATGGAATCTACAGGTTTAGAGTTCAAATCAGCCGGATTCCCACATCAGATCCCCCCCCCCCAATGCTTCACTTTGTACTTGTTACAATGCGTTCGTTAGAGATTAATTGATAACTGTGGTTGAAGCTGTACTTTTTATAATCAAACAGAATTTAAACAGGAGATAACTAATAATACAAACAAGTACAGTGTAACCCGGATATAAGAGAGTTGTCGGGACCGAAGAAGAAGTCTCTTATATCCGGGTTTGGTCTACAACATTAACACAGGTTCTAATTTGGGACCAGAGAAAATCTCTTATATCCGGGGGTTACACTGTATAGACATTTTTTAATAATTTTTATAAAAATATTTATAATTATATATAAAGATTTAAAAATAGGGCAGTTAATAAAAAGAGAAAAAAAAAATCAAAACTTTATTGATCTTGCCCTGAAAAAAATTGTCTCCTTAAACTTCAAACAAAATAATAAACAAAAAAAAAAATTAGATTGTTGCTGTTTTAGTTTTTGTCATTATTTTTCTTAGATTTCCGTTGAGATTCTCTTTTAAATTTAATTTACAATCCAAAAAAAAAAAAAAAAAAGTGTTTTAAAAATTTTTAAAAGAAGTGTTTTAAAAAAATACTTCTCTTAAAAGTAATTAAAAAAATTTTAATTACATTTTTTTTTTTAGTTTTACTTTCCTTATTTTCTCATTGTAACTACACTCCCTAGACTAGCTAGAGAGACATTTTTAAAAGTAGTAATTTATTACAATTTTGAGTTTTGACACTATCATTTCTCACAAAATTACCCAATTGTTTCAATATTTTTTAAAAAGGAACATTGTTTTTATTTTCGATTTATCATAAATCGACACCACAAGTATTCCACGATTTAACCTAATTTTTAATTTTTTTTTTTTTTTTTTGTGTCATCCGAAAAGGTGTGACAGTCTGAGTAATGAGTAACATGGCGATCAACGCATTAGATACGATGATACTAAAAAAACGTTGTAACGGTAAAAACTTAATGTTTATTAAGTCTTTTAAATCATTTAAAAAATAATTGACTCTTCTTTTAAACGTGTTATTCTTATTTACACGCCCAAAACAAATGTTTTGCGTTTATGAATAAATTCAATTCTTTGAATTCATTCGCGAGGAAAAAGTTTGAAATCATAAGAAGGTTTGAAACTTGAAAGCCTTTTTTGCTTCTTTATCACCGCGCAACAGGTGAGAGGCAAATTCATTTTTTAAAAAATTATAGCAAAAAAAATAAATGAATAAGTCACAAATGAAATAACTTATTCGGAGTCATAAAAGCAATTTAATTAAATTACTTAATTGTTTAAGTAACGGAAGTAATTGTTTTTTTTTATTATTATTTATTTGTGTGCGTGTGTGCCGGTGCTTTCTGGTTAGGAGAAGGACAGTAAATTTAAGAAATAACTCGGGTAGAAACATACATAATATTAAACAAAGTCATTTAATACTAAACTAGTCTTCCACAATTTACGAGGATAAGGTTAAAGCTTCATTTGTTATTTTATGAGGAGAGTTACCTGAGCCAGATAGGTAAAGATTAAAAGAACAAAAATTAATTTAATTTATAAAAAGAAATTTTTCTTGTAATTGTTAAAAAGTTTTTTTGCCGTAACTTACCAGCAGGTATATAAACCAATACAAAAATGGTCAGTAGAAATTTCCAGTGCATTTTTGAGTAGATTAAGCAAGTGTAAAAAAAAAAAAAAAGAACCTGTATTGAAAAACTGAACCGAAAAAATCTTTACGTTCACAACATTTAGTGAGAGAGAAAGTCACGTGATATTTAATATAACATCTGATTGGCTGATGGATTCAAACTCACCTGAACATGAGTAGTAATGAAACAATGTACTCTGTTGTGTTTTTGTTGTTCCGTATAATACGTAAATAACGACATAGACAAAAAAATGCTCTTATTATTTCCTTTTGGGGACACCTAAGGCATTGCAAATGGTTCTTCTTTGCCTTATTACTCTTCTTAAACTGCAGTATAGGAAAGGAAGGGAATACTCATACTGTCACTGATCATTTCTGTCTGGGGGATGAAAACAGTTCCAAGGGATTCCTTTGTCAAGGCTGTATATCTCCATTGCACTAAGGAAGGTAGAACCAGGATTAATCCCTGATGCCTGACACATGCCAAAAAAGGAAAGTGTTGAATGAGCTACAAAATTTTATCTCTGTCATCATGTTTCAAGTGAGCTACCACTTTAAACCTGATCTTGAGATAAATTTGCTCCTGTAAGGGAGTGAATAAATGATACTCAAGCTCCATCCATCATTGGCTACAGGGTCATAAATAAACAGTATATCTAGTTCCAGGGAACTCCTTTACCCAGGCTGCATCTCTTCATTACTTTAATAAACTAAAACAGAGAAAATTGCCAAAATGCAAGTTTCAAGAAAACTATATGTGTTTGCTTAACAATACAATTTATAATGTTAAACAAACACCCATTCTAACCACAAGAATGCAGTTCTTATTAGAACCACAGGGAGCATACACATGGACTATAATGACTATGTAGGTTGTAACAATTACTGATGTAGTAAACAATACATGTAATGCAATGTACAATTTCTGGTAAGTATCAATTAAATGATTCTGAAAAATGTAATCTAAAAGATCTGAAGTAGTTTTTTGCACACTTTTTCTGTTCCTGATCTCCAATTCACATTGCAGAATTGAGGACAATCTCTTGATCTTGTGAGGCAATTCTTCTAGTACAACGTCACCCATTTTTTTGTGAAATTATAGTGGCACGGGACCTAAAAGTTAAAATGAACATTTGATTTACTCATAGCAGTAAGGTTAATGAAGGACGATAATGACAAGGAAACATGGCTAATTTTAACAAAACAAGATAAGGAATTTATTAATTTATTTATACACTGAAGGTAATGTCAGTAGCTCGTTTCAGGAAAATAAATCAGATTACTGAAAGTCCGTAGTTTTAACATATTATCATGAAGAGGAAATGTTAATACAAAATAATATTAAAAAATGTTTATAACAAAAGGATATGTTGCCAGCAGGGTCAGCAGTTGACCGGTTGGCTGAGGTTGTTGGTGGGGTTGATGTACAACCTTCTTCAGTCAACACTAGTGAGGTGTTTGATAGGCTGGCAGTTGTGTGATGAGGTCAAGGTGTTGAAGCCAAACTACCTGGTAAAGTGCATTGGCAGGGATCGACGTAGGTCAATGTGGTGGAATGAGGGAGGCCTAGAGTGAATAGTGAAGCCTGATCTGCCTGGTAAGATGTGTTGGCTGGATTGATGCATCAAGGTCACAGTGGTGGTTTGATTTGTAGTAAGGCCTTGTAAGGTGTGTTGGTTGCTGAAGTCAAGGTGATGACTGTGAGGGAGGCCCGGAATCATTAGTGAAGCTACAAATCTGATAAAGAGGATGCAAGCATGAAGAGTCAGGAGAAAACATGAATAACTTTGCCAATGCAGAGTACGTGAGCATGAATAAATGGGAGAAATCACGAACCTGACTTTGCCAAGGCAGAGTATGTGAGTATGAATATTTAGGAGAAGTCATGAACGTAACTTTGTTGATAGAAGTGGTGCATTACCAGGTTGGTAGCTGAACATCTCTGTTCCTCTTGGCCCATTTGCTGCATTCTGCATGTGAAGAGTCAGATGAGATTAGTGAAACTTGGGTGAGATCACAGTGGTGACAATAGAGGCAATAATGGTGGTGACAGCAACAGTGTACCTGCATGTCAACATGTAGCCATTTGGCCTGCAACTATGCCGGTTGTTTAAAAGGGTTTTCCTCTTAAGCAAATCTGGTGGTTGTAATGAAAACAGGACAAGAGATTCTGTCTAGTAATCGTTTATTCAATTAAGAATACTACTACTCATCTGACTTGACAGCGGAAGTATACAGCTTTTATAGCTTGGATTATCTAAGAGGAGATAATCCATATTCACAACATTCTCCCCCACCAAATTTCTCACTGATAGGGAAGAAAGTCCCTTAAATGTCCAGGCTCCCTACGAGTTCGCAGTGGCCGCCTCGGCAGTCCATGATTCGTGGTCGGGAGGCTCTTCAGTGCGAGCCTGTCTGTGGGCTCTAAAATACCTTGCTCCGAAATGTTTCCTTCTCAGAGGAGCAGGCCGTTCCGCGTCAGAGTCAGTCTCTGGATGAACACGTTTATTCGGTGCTAGCCCTTCATCTGTCAGGGTTTCAGGTGTTGGCCCATCCGAAGTGTCTGACGGGGCCTCAACGGAGACAGTGTCGTCAGACGGCGTGTCAGGAACAATTTCAGTGCCATGATCTTCCGGAGGGGCTTCAGTGTCAGGGGTAGTTGGTCTGTCCTCAGGGGCTATCCACGGTCCGGGTACGTCTCCGGCCGGTGCTAGGTCCCTGAGAGACACATTAGACTCTACCATCTGCATGTCGTCTCAGAAACACAGTACCGGGTCGAGAGAGCCAAGATGGAAGCGAAGCTCCTGCCGAACTCCGTCGCTGAAAAGGTAGAAACCTTTCGTTGGCATTCGTGGCGGTACACAATAGGGAACGAATGGCGTATAATGCGACAGGAAGGAGATTTTCCCAATTATCAATTGAACATCCGTTATTTGAGGCAGCCAATTGAACGGTCTTCCAAATAATGCCGTTATATCTTTCGCATTGGCCGTTACCCTTAGGGTTGTAGGGAGTTGTCCACGGTCCTGTAGAAATTGCCGAAGCTGCTCTGACATGAAAGAAGCCCCTCGGTCCGAATGTATATAGGCAGGGGCTCCAAAGATGGCGAACAGTGAGCAGAGGCATTGTATAATTGCCCGATATGTCTGAACAAGGGAAGGCAAAAGGAAACCGTGAATATTCGTCGATAACCGAATATATCTGTTCCTACTATCCTGCGACTTTTCAAACGGTTGTAATATTTATTTGCATTTAAAATACAAAATGTGGCACAAGGCCAAAAAGGGGGATGGGGAATGACGGTCTTCATCTGTCTTAAATCTAAACTTAGCTAGTCGCAGACACTGACCCAAACATGCCAACAATAATCCAATCACCAAAACAACACATTCACTCCTACCTTTCTTACTACGTCCACCATAATACCTCAGTTTCTCTATGAAGTTCTAACTAGTCCCCTTATTTACAGATATTGTTCATGGGGGGAGGGTCATAAAATAACAACTTTTAAAATCCCCAAATGAATATTTACAAAGTGAATTAATTATTTACAATAAACTAAACAAAATTAAGTTAGTAATAAAACCCCCCACAAACTATGAATGTGGCAGAAATATCAGTTAACCGGACGAAATCGATGCGGGACTAAGAAAATAAGAAAACATTCAAACCATCAAGCATTCACACAAACACTCACTCATTCATACACAACAACAAATACGAAAACACACACACGAAACGAAAGGCGCCCCGCATCCACCAGAAAACTGACATCACTAACCACCTAACGAGGGAGGGGATGGGGAATTAAACAAAAGAAAAAAAAATAGGGACAGAAATAAAAGGGACCAATGAGCTTACATACCCTAGCTAAGTTAACCGGGAAAAAAAGGGAGAAACTAAAAATTCAAAAACGAAAACCTAGTCTAGCCTAATATCTGGGTGGGTTGCTTATGTTCAACCCTGTTAGGACAAAATTCTGTACCTAACCGACATCCAAATGCCACTCTAGGTCAGCTCCTTTCACTCTACACATTCGCGCAAGATTCACCCACCTTTTGCCGAATTCTGATGATGGGAGCCGCCGCCTTTCCGTCCTAATCTTGACTTTAAGCTGATGCTTAAAGTACAAGATCAGTTGGGAAGAGGTGAACTTCTCGCCTTCATAGAATCCCTTCTGTCGCGTCGTCCAAATCACGACTCGCATAACCCCTAGTAAGCAACAGAACACATAGTGTTCAGCCTTCGTCAATTGCGATACCACATTGCTACAAACAGAACTGGCTTCCAGGACAAAAAACTTTCCCTGCAGCATGCGAACCATGAGGCCTTCAACAAACTTGCACAACGGCACTACCGTCTTGCACTGAAAAAAGGCGTGACCAATGGTCTCGACATTCCCAGTACAGCGACGACAGTTTGATATTTCTCCAAGCCTGCTGAACAAAGTCTTTTGCCGACCCAGAGGGCCCCACGAATCATCAGCCAGGTGAGTGATGCCTCATCGTTATTGAGACATTTCAACCCAGGCGCCCAAGGCCATCGAGCGAGCCTCCTGCTTCGTAAGACAGAGCTCGTCGATCAGACCATCTTGAACGGACCCCCTAACTAACAAAACGATATAATGCCTTACGAGACAACGCTTGGGCGTCGGAGAGGCCATCCGACGTCCGCAAGAGGAGCTTCAAAGCACGACGACATTCGCGGTAGAAGGAGCACTCGACACGAGGTGTACGGCCGGCCTCCTCCTCGCACGAGTGCACACTTCTCAGGGATGGGAAATGTTTTCGGACATCTTCTTTCCAAAAGGTGCCCAAAACCACGACACATTCGGTCTAGAAAGGTAATGCGAAGCATATATTGACGAATCTCAATGCTAGGCATACCCAGACCGCCCTCAGAGGGATGAAGGCAACAGATCTCGCGAGATACCTTATGGGACTTGCCTCTCCACAAGAAAGAGAACAAGGCCTTGACTAATGACATTAGTCGGGCATACGGGAGTGGAAGCAC